TTAATTTTTATCTGTTTCGCGCTTCCCTATAATGAGATTGTGTACATAAATAAAACTTCCGCTGAGATGATCATTTTTTTAAGACAATTTCATGGAATATTTTGTCAAGACTAGCTTAAAAGAATGTCTTATCAAATTTGAAACTCAAATAACAATATAAGGGAAAGTAGAACATTTAAAATCATTTTGCTGAATTGCTTATGTGAATTGAAAGTTATGTAGATTACAACAATTATTCTGATATAGTTTGTTTCATAGACTGGGTCTAACTAGACAACCACTGAAAGTCGGAAAATCTTACACATTTATTTAGTATTAGTGTGAGACACCTTAGAAATGAATATCCACAACTCATTAACCGTAGAAAAAGTATCACCAATAACAATCGATTATAGCAGAGGATTATGGAAAATTGACTGAAGTTATGTGAATCAATGGATTTTAACTTAGTGGTTTGAAAGTCGAATACTAATTGCAGACCAAGATGTTCCTTGGTTAGATCCCTAGTGGGGTCATCTATGCACAGTGATGAGAGGTTCCTTACTAGAAAGTCAGAGCTGTTAAATGACATCCGTTTTTCAATCATAAATTCATTAAAATCACTCAGTGATACAAAACAAAAACTGAACAGTCTTTAAAAACCTTTTAGATGAATGTTCTTTCAGTAGTTGAGATGTTGAGTTTGATGAGAATATCACAACAAATGAACTAAAATTGTTTTACTACAGTTCATTCTATTGTAATTCATCCATTTATCGACTTTAATAATCTGCATTTTTCAACCATCCGGTCATTATCATTTTAACAAAATGTGTATTTATTGAGTTAAAACTATTTACTGATGGACTAAATAGTTAGTCGCATGAATTACTTATATTTTTTGAAGATCTATTCATTCTAAAGATAATTTCTTCCGACGAGCGATCTCAATCAAAAAACTATCACAAATCATAAAGCCTCATAAGAAGTCATAACCTCTCACTTCCGATGGGTTCTAAACTATATAAACTAATTTAATTGATACCTAATGGTTTCAAGTGGTTTTTCAGTTGATGCAAAATTCTGTGAGGAAACTTTTATAACCAAATTCACATCTATCTATAAAATCTTTATCATATTATTATAAACACACAGAGCGCACCTACTTTTATGTAAAGATATGTTCTCTTTCAAGCTTTTAATATAATATTTATGAAACTATGATAACCTTGGCTAATTAAAATTTTGGTTCTAGTCGCTTGCTCATTGATCTTGTATATTCCGAGTTTTCACTTACAGAAAACTTTATCAGTACCAAACAAAGCTTCAACATTTACACTAAATGTTCATTGAGGACTGATCAATCTCATGTTTATCATGCCGCAAGTGCTGATCATATTCTTTCAATCGAGTAGCAAAGTGGTAACTTCAGTCTTAAAAATGGTAAATCGGAGCCTAAACAGCTTTGGCGATAGTGGTTCTAATATCACGTGGAGTATCATTTTTGTTTGAGAAAGTAAAAATATGCCTTGTTATTGAGAGACAACCAGCATGAAACCTAGTTCCAGGGTTTTCTATCAATCGCCTTCATTAACCTAATTTTGAAATCATAAAAGTATCACTTTAGCAAATCCAAAAATTAATATGGATATTTTAATTTAGGTCACTGTTGATCTATGAAAGCTAAAGCATTAATATCGACATTAAGAGTATAGATTATAAAAGCAAATCATGGTTGATTTCAAATTACAGATAAACTCATCATAGCATAAGTGAATTTGAAGAATGAGTGATTAGTTGATTTAATTGAAATTATTTATGCTGTTTTGTAGCATTCCATAAATTCATACAAAACAATAAATACAACTAACAAAAACTTTATTGATCATTACTAAGGGTTGATCCATCTATATCACTGATGTTGAGATAGAGATTCATTTAACCCTGATATGTTTATTTTAATGTATACCATCATATATTATAACATTTCAATCGTATACTCAAACGTTATTGTTATTCTAGGTTGATTACCATCGCAGCAGTCTAATAATGTTGAGTTTACTACATAACTTTTCTCAAGTCACTTAACCAGGATGCAATTAATTTTCCTAATAATGTTTTAAATAGTAGTGAACTTATTCAGCCTTACTTCGAAAATCGCTCACTTACACTTATAATGATCTTTTTTAATTTCTAGCTGACATATTTTATGAAGGTCAGATGCTAGCCATAAACTGTAGTGATTGTTAATCTTGTAAAATTTCGCACTGACAAACCACTCCAGAGTGAGTTGTGAAACATACTTTTTGCAGTGACACGACCCTATCCTCGTTGTTTTATTGCTAGTTTGACATTCACAAAGAAAAACGGTTTGATGTGTATCATCCTTTCTAAGGACTAACAATCATCTTATGGGAAATACTTCCTAAGGCGTCTAAACTTTGATCTACAGTTCATTACTGTATAATGCATGTTTATGTGAGGGTTTACGACTGACCAAGTGTACTGATTACAATCAATGTTGATACTTCCCCATGTTTGTCACTAATCTCACTATGTAACTTTGCGCTCATCAAGGTCCTTCCATATTTATTACTCGCAATAACAAACATAAAAATGGAGCTACTTTCTAATAAAACTTATTTCATCTATAGAGATAAACTGTGTTTTACTTTCTTGTAGATAACTTTTTCGCGTAAAACGGGATCTATTTCTAAATAAGTACCTTTTGGAATGTTATTATTTTCATGAATAACCATTTGGAAAAACAAATTTACGAAATGTCTAAAACGAAGTTCACTTTATTAGTGACCTGTATAGTCCACATACAAAGAAACAGAAAAGCATCATATATTATGTTCCATTGACACTGAAATCGTTATTCCATTGAGTGTAAGTGCGGATTATGAGTAATTATTCAATAGTTACTTTAATAGTTCGGTCGTGTTTTCAAAAATATGCTAGGTAATGCCTTATTTTAGCTAGTAAAATACCAATAATATCATAGATAAAAACAAACTGATCACTTAATAATTAATTACATGACTCCGTGTGTGATATGTTGATAAACATTAACAAATTGGACTTTTGAATTTTTTGAACATCATTCCGATGATTCGCTTAAAATGGAATCATAAATCAAAATACATTCACGTCTGAAATTTAGTTTAGAAATAGATAAATGGCCATTTTCAAAAAAGTATATTTGCTACCGATTGCCATAATACATATTAGGGAGGGGGTTTCGTTAAATAAAGAAAAGATCCCAGCACTGGAATATCTCTGAGTGTAGTCAGCTCATATAACAAACAAGTTCTAACGATAACATGAAGCTCAGTGGAAACTCAGGTCGAACAACGATCGTGTATAAAAGTACGCCTAATTGAAATTAACTTTGGATTTAACAGAATGGCGCAGTCCATGACTAACTGGCAAGCGTTTTTACCGCTAAGTACTTCTGCTTACCAAGTGCCCCAGTGAGCTGTTATACATCTTCCTATCAATGATTATAGGGATAAACTAACTTCACTGTTCTACTAACTCATACTGTTTTGATTCTTATAAAATAGATGATCTTCTAATTCACGGGGTTCATCATTAAGAAAAAAAAACAACTCGAGATTTATGTTTATTTATCTGTATTATTCATGATGACTATAGAGAAAAAAAAATTAAATTGTGGTTTAGATAAAAACAACCTGTCTTATTCTAAACAACGTTTATTAGGAAGGTACAATCAGAAATTCATGAAAATGCTTTGCCACTATTAAAATTATTTAGTCACGGTTTTATCAATATATGGTAGTAATAATTAGCTACTTTATTAGACATCCTAACTTCAGGTTAAGCTATAGTATTAGTATTTAAAATTAGATGGAGTGTTACACTGAAGATTTACAAAGACCTACATATCTGAGGAGAAGCACGGAACACAGTGCATCACGAGGTAGGTGCTTACTTGGAATCCTGGAGAGAAATGGAAAGGAGGAGGTTCAAAGAGCACGCTGCGTTGAGAATTGGAAGCAAACATGTAAAAGATGAATAACGACTGGAAAGAACTGGAAAGGATTGCCCATGACAGAGTTGTATGGAGAATGCTGGTGATCGGCCTACTCTCCTCCATGAGGAGTAACGGGCATAAGTGAGTAAGTTACATTGAAGATAATTTTAATAATAATTGATCAGTAAGGTTATTATTTAAAATGTCAATATTGTTAGATGAAAAAATGGCAAACTGCCTATTTTGAGAGCGAAAAATAAGAGTCACCTTTTTATTACTAGGAAACTGTTATCTATGGTACTGAATGTCCATTGCTTTCGGTCATTGCCACCATCACAACAAAGAAACTTATGGGAGGATTTCATTACTTCTATTTTTAAGCTTTAAAATATTTGTCTGATGCCGTTAAACAAAAAGGACCCAGAGGTCCTGATGACTGACCGTTATTACCAACTTTAATGTTGAAATATCAAAACCTTCATCGAATATGAACAACTGTTGATACTTTATTCAAAACACTGGTATAACGGTCATATTTGATAAATATGATGTCATCGTTATAAAGCACCTTTTGATCTTAACTGCGCATCAATTTATAATCATCTCAAAATCAAATTGTCAACATGTAGGTATTTTCCTGGTAGTATTCGCAAAAAATATAGTTTACACAGTTTATACATATTACTGAAATCCACCGTTTTATTCCTTTGATCTAATCATTAATCGTGACTATACATGTGTCATATGATTTTTGGAAGTTATGGAAAGTTAATAAAGCCTAACTTGAATTTTATTTTAGTTGTGATTCAGTGGTTTCTTTCGTCTTTAGGTTTATCATCGTTATATATAATGATCAGTGGACATGATACACAATATTTTATGTATATAACTGATTACAATATACTCATATTTGAAATGGATGAACTTGGTTTGTTTTTGAACGACAGGTAGCTATTTTTAAACATCTGCATATTAAGACAGTGAAAAAAGTGTATTCATTTTTCCAAACAGCCAGACTTACTATTAACTAAACTATGAAGTGCCAACTTGACTTTTGAAAAGTTTCCTCTGCCAATATCCAGAACAAATCGATAAAATCCTAGACGTTTTCCAGCACGTATTTCATTCTTATAAGTTGCATCTTTAGAAAACTTCTGACATAATTTCTCAAAAACTGTCAGGCTCTCTGGCTGCTTTTGTACATTTTTTTGATCATTTTTAAGAACAGAGTGCTTTTTAAATGAGGAAAACGATTCTGTAGAAACGTGATTAGCATCCGATTTGGTTGAATGACCCTAGAGAAAAGGGATTGAAATATTTATTTTGCATTTTACCGTGCCATCAATTCTTAGGTGGTTTGGAGTCAAAAGTGCCTCTAATTGCTATAAAGACATAAAGTAAATAAGTAAAAATATTTCATTACTTTGAACTATTCAAAGGACCAAAATTAATGACACCTGTATAAATGCACCATATTTCTTGATGAAGAAGCAACGCTGAACTTTCAAGCTTAAACGAGTTGATTTTCGTACAACTTGGGCAAATATAGAAAACTGTCAAATAATCAGAATCACAGAATAGTAGACATGTATCGTTTCTCACATTATGATAGGGCTACTGTAAGGTAATGAGCATTATGAAGTATAGTTCAAGCATTAGTAACTTCATATCTCATTTGCTTAACTTTCCACAAGAATTTGAAACTTTTCAAATTATTTTCCTGTTTTTCATCAATAACGGAGGACTTCAGTTCCTTACCAGTGAAGCACCGACTTAAACAGAAATGCATGAAACTTTTATCACTTTGAGTTCATTGTGCAAAAACAGCACTTCCGTTTGTACGTACTACACCGAAGGGTTTTATTTGGCATAAATTAAGACCATGAAACGTCTTCCTTTTGAACCAAGACAACCTTTTGTGGCCATCCCTTGAAGTACGAACAGCGATTACTACAATGTTTCTATAAGTGCCATATCTTTTTAAAAAGCTGGATATTCCATTATTATAGTCATATAATCCACATTAAAGCATTTTAATTAATTTGGCAAGCAATGCAACAAAAGCATAAACTACCTATTATTTGTTATTTACAGATTAAATATCTCAACTGTCAACTTTTTGTCAGATAAACATTCGTTTCTACCATATGGTCGGATTGTGAAATATTTTTGAGTTATGATCGCTGCAAAAAGTAATACATTAATATCAGGGTTCGTCCTAATTATGAACTTTTTATTAATAATGATGATGAACATATTTTCACAAATGTGAATTTGTGTTACTCTGTCCTAGAGAATGATAATCATGACACATATTTTTCAGTCACAAAGTAGAACTCAGTGACTTCTTCGTTCCCATATAATGACTATTTCACTAAACATAGGGTCATAGACTGCAAGAGAACACGAATGATGCTAAACAACTAAGACGTAATGTTTGTTCATTAGAATCTGAATAGTGAGTAACATGATAGTAATTAGTATAGACTTAGTAAGTAATTTCATATCAAGGTAATGAACTCACATTCATATGACTATTTTTTTCAGGTGGTGTTTCAGACCTTTCTTCCAAGCATTGTTTGGCGTATCTGTCCAACCCTTCTACTTCTGAGATTGCGGGTCTTAATTGACCACCAGGTGCAGCGAGATAACTATTGTTTTGTAATTCGTTATTGCGTATGTCGACCCCGGTATACTCACGAGACAGCTCATGGTAGGACATTTCAGATTCGCACCAGTGGATAGTTACATTTCGTTCTAACTTGCTATTTTCTTTTTTACCATTACTCAAAGCACTTCGGTTGTGTATAGTTTTCCCATTTTGGATGTGTATTTCACGAGGATAATTTTTATTCATCTCATAGAAATTATACTAAAGACGACGAAGGAAGATAAATCATTATGAGCAAGTGTTTTTCTGATGGTCTAACAACACAAAAACAACCGTCGCTCAAAGTAACGCTGGATGAGTACAATTTATTATTGATCTTTTAAAACAAATCATTGTCACACGTTATACCAAAAGCTTATGGAGACCTCTTCACAAACCTTGGTGAAAATTTCATATTTCCGTTTCTTATTCTATGGAGTTATTCCGTTTCAAATGTAAATATAAGTTTTTCACCCCTAACACTAGACTTTACCATGTTTAAATAGAGGAATGTTAGTTTCCTAGAATCTCTGGTTGAGTCATAGTGCCAGTTCTTTACTGCCATGAAATTAATTTTTTTCTTATTCTTCATGAACCCAAAATGACGACACTTTGGTTTCGAATAAAGATGACGAAATAGCATCAAGTGTAGCTCCCCTGCAGTGCCATTGAAATATAATTAGTCATTAATCTCTTTACATTAGTTTCCGTAAGGTACGATCGCTGTTTCTCATGTTAGGAAAGTTTTGGGTTTACAAATTCTGGCTGCAAATGCATGCACATATTTTTTTCTAGAAAGTGCGATCATCGTGTGCTACGAATTATATTCTGAGTTGTTCGGTGTAACTTATTTCTCATATATTCCTTAACGGATGGCAACCGAACAAAGAACGGCAATTCACTGTCTAAACTCGTGTCTACGTAGTTACAATCTCAGAAGCCAATATACAACGGTCTGAACTGGTCTCGTGACTTCATCCAAAAGAAGAATATATTTATTATTTGGAATTGTGCTCACTTTTGGCTGCACAGATGCACCAATCTGGATATTTTCATATCCATTAACTGAAGATTCGAAGTTTAACTTTTTAATCAAGGTAAAAAGGAATCTCTTTTGACTTTGGCCTATCTAAATTAATTGAGTCAGTTAATTGAGTCAGTGTATACAATGATGTGACTTCGTATTGATTAGGTAGTCGCGTCATAACAAATCTACGACTTTAGGATTAAATCCATTATTGGAGCAGTGCTAACAACAAAGTAGACCATAATTCTACGGACACTTTTCAACTGGACGGATGCATTTATCCTCAAATATTTGTTGGCTGTATTACAAATCTCACATCTCAGTTTGTAGTGACACTGATCTCTAATCACACATTCCTTAAAGCTAAACATGAGAAAACTAGGAAAATAGTTATTTAATATTTAACCCGGAGAAAATCCCGAGGATGGAGAAGGCGAGAAGAAAGAATTCGATCAATTAAATTCATTTAATGGCATGGATCAGCCTCGTAGGTGTGTTCATACTGTTCTGGTATCACTTTTATTCATGTTGAATCTATTGTCCTGTCTTCAGTCTAAATGTGTTCTCTACCATATATTGGTGATTGTTATGATAATATGAGTCGCTGTTGATAATGATGTGACTTCCACGTAAGATCTTGTGTAATAGGTGGCCACATCACTAGGAATCTATAATTTTAGGGTCAGGTCTATTATTAGAGCAGTACTAATAACGAAGAAGACCAAAATTCTACACGTTATTGAGCTGTGGTTTTGAAATTAGGTGTCTCATGAGAACTTGCCTAGAGTTTATACCGTTTACAGTTATAATGAGGGTATAAAACGTGAGTATTTCAAGAAAAAACTTTACAGGAAGAGTGTTGATATCATAATCATTCTTACTTAAATGTATTGATGAACAGATATAAGGTAGTGGTTGGTCGTATTTGACAGGATACACTGGACCTTAGTTTCGTCGTGATACTTGTAATCCTAAGGAGGTTGATGATGCTTGGTGGATTTTTAAAACCATGGTATACTTCGGCATTAGTACATTTATCTTCGCCTCTGTATTAATGGAGCTAGTCCAGAAGTTGTAGATGTCATGTGACTACATAATCTGTAAAATTTCATGTGTACGTCACATCATCCTCTACACGTACTCTTCTTATCGTAACAATCAGCAATATGACGCCTAACACTTATACAGAACACACTTAGGTTGAGCAGTGTTATGCTTGTTAGTAGAGTGAATGACTAGTTGATGTATGACGCGATAAGACCGCCAATTAGGGAGCAGCGAATTGTCGATTGGAACAGTGACACGAAACCCGTACGAGCAGACTAGAGTGCTAACCGGTCCTGCGATCTGATTAGCCCAGCCAATTAAGTGCAAAACACCAATAACAGCCTCAGTGGTATGAATCATTATTTACAAACATACTGGGTTTTTATACAAACCAAAGTAATCAATAACTGAGTATAACTCAAGAATCGTATGATAATAAATCAAAGATCAAAATAAAGCTCATGATAAGAGATACACGAATATGAATAGTTAAGTTACGTAACAATTGTACAATAGGAAATAGGCATAATATATTGGTCGATAAATAGACCTAAAAGTTTACATTCGTAATTCACCGGAGGATATAACAAGCAGAGAGTGATATATTGTGATTATTAGAAGTATTTGAATTATTATACGAACTAGGAATTACCGAAATGATGCAATTCACAGCAAATATAACTACGTAAGCACAATCGACCGCATTGTATTTGGAATTCGAAATCAGGCAGTCATCAGGCACGAGGGGATCACTAGTTCTTACAAACACCCCACATATTCAGCACAAAACACAGAACGTTTTGTGGAGTGACCGCGCCTGCATGACCGAGTCATGCCATTTCCATTGACTGCCCCCGAGTCCACTATAACCGATCTACTTTAAATGTTGCATTTTAAGTTTCAATCTACTCAGTAATTATGTGTTCGGCTTCGAGAACCATGTGGATAGAAATTGATGACACTGCAAACTCAAACATGTGTCAACCAGCTTAACTGTCAGACATGTTGTACATGGAGTATTCGGCTGACTTGACGAGTTGTACTAGCATCTGATCATTCCCTGAGCAGTGATGAATGTCACCTTGGTGTTGGTCAAATTTTATTGTTCACAAGTCATCTACAATAGTGACCGTATTTTGAAATGATCGACAAAACTTCAACAACACTAAGACGTTTACATATGCAACACTTTTATTGCATTTTGTTTGTTCATTTTCAAAACTTTCATAAAAATTTCGTGTAACTCTACCAAATTAATCTTCCTCCTTCTCTTTTGTAAACATAATGTCATTTTTAAGATCAAAAAGAGAAAAGCGTCTGAAGAATATTGATAATAAACATTCTAAACCTTTAAAAATTATTTTTATGACGAGGAGATATGATTTTAGTACTTTCTGTCGGTTAGGAAATAGGTTGCGAATAGAGATTTGTGATTTCAACGTTGTGTTTTGGAGCAAGTTGTCTGTATAGCGACCTTGATGACAATCACTTCTTCATCAATAGTAACCTGTCCATTGTAAAAGATCAACATAAACCTTTTTCATCTGATGATACAGTATATAAGAACTCTCGTCTAAATTAGAACGAATAGTTTCACAGTATTTGAGATTTTACAAATATATTATTCCTATTTAATGATGATACAGTAGTTTATAAATTTAAAACTGGGGGTTCATTGAAGTAAACGTGTTTCGACACCTAATGGCAGGATTGTGAAGTTATGGTCTACTTGTGCATTATATGCATTTATATTTGGTACTACAATGATGAACCTAATCCCATAACGGTAAATTTTCATTGATATCGCTCTTAAATATTCAGGTCAATAGTCAGACAAGAGAAAACGACAACAATAAATGGATATGCTTCACTAATTTTTGTCAGAAATGGAGAGGGGAGTACTCAGTTGGTTAGGTCTGTTAAAACCATTATTACCATAGGTATGGTCCCTACGGATAATTTAAAGCACAGGTTCCGGCTGGCTAAAATTGATCTAGAATTTACTATGTAGTCCATTGACAACTCCAAACTTGGCGTCATCGTTTGCTCATTGTGAATCTGAAGATGAAGGTGGTTTGCATGCCGCGGATATTAATAGCATCTGTTTTTCCACGAGCATGTGGTTTCTTATGTCTTAAGTGTTGCTACTCCCATGCTAACGTTGAACTAGTTAATATTCCCAAATATCTTGTCTGCCAGATATCGAGCTTAAATGCTGAGTCCAGGGCTATTGCCTGACCCTAAGTAGTACACTAAAATGGAAAAAGGGAGCATATTCATCGATAACACTGTCAATTTGGTGGTAAAATTTTAGCAGAGGTTCAAAACTAGGCAACGTCACTCTTTGTCCATTTAATTATCTTCAAGTATATTGAACTAAGCATCAGAGTCTTGGAAGAGTGAACAACCTGTAGTCTGGAGATCAGTTTTCGAATCAAAAATCTTCTGAATGACTGATAAACATTTGAGCAGGGTTTAACATTGTACCATTGACAGTAAAAATGCACGTCTTCATTGTCGTACCTTAACCAGTACTGGGTCATAAGATTTGGTAGTTTATAACTACTCACTTCAATAGTGTTGCATCCATTCTGCATTTAAGCGCATCTAAGGAAAATAAGATCAAAATTTCCTCTCCCTTTCAAAACAGCACATTATTATCTATTTAGATTGTCACTGATTCCTTTGAATAGAGAATAAAGGTTTTCAGTGAATAAAACTGACCTATCACCACAAATTGTCCTTGAATTTGAAAATACACTGATAGTTGCACGCTTGGCGAGGATGTGTAAAGGTTAATTAAGATCAGCTCAGGAACAATTATTGCAATTGCTTGTGTCAGCCAAGGAAAGGTGCTTACTGTGAATCTCCCGTGTTTATGTTAAATATTCTATCTCATCACTAGCTTGGATATATTCTTCGAAGGTGTTTATAAACGATACCGCTGACTACAACTAGAGTGGTGTATGTTACTAATATCGACAGAAATAAGTTGTATGTAACACCAATAAGAAGTGGAAAACCTGGCAGCAAAAGGCTAAGAAGATCAAGTTGGAGAGAATGGAAATAGAAAGGAATTGTGAACTGGAGGAATCGTGCAGAATGTGGAGGACAAATGACGGTTATTCGCAAATGAAGTATATAATGTATGGTTTTCACAATTTACCAAAGAACTCCGTAACTTTGTGTTAAATAATAAATTCGTCGTCCTCACCTGTGTTTTTGTTCACAGCACGAGGAGTAAGCTAGCCACTCTGA